TAAAAGATGCACAATAATTAATTTAGCAAAGAGAATTTGAGTGAAAGGAATTAATTGGGTTGTAAATTAATGATAGTTTCTGGCTAGCCTGTGCATGTGTTTTGCTCTTACTAGAAAATATTTTTATTTATTTTATTATTTTTTTTGCTAATTCCGAGATACATTTATTTATTATTAAATTATAGAATAAATTAGAGGAATAAATGTGGAGATGTTGAATACAGAATTTAGTTGTTGAGTTTTTCGAGTTGTTGATTTTATTATAATTTTTTTGTGACAGCCTGTGAGTATATTTGCATGGCCATGGGATAGATAAATTGATGGATATCTTGAGTTTGAACTGACATGTTATGAAGGGATAAAAATAGATTATTGAAAAGAAAACAAAAAAAAAAAATATTTAAATTATGGTTAGATTTAAGTAGTCATATTTTTTAAACTGAAAATTACAAGATAAAGTATGATATTTTATAATATAATCACTTAATTTTTTTATTTTTTTTTTTGTTGAAAAAATATGACGGGTCGAATGATCTGTTCCATAAATTTGTGAAATTGCAACTGACTCGGTATCTTTTTATTTGAAAAATAATGAAAAAATTATATAGCCATGTAGACCTGTTATGTGCCATTTTTTTATTTTATTTTATTTTTAAATAAATTTGTCATACATCTAATTAAATAAAAACACGAAATCGGACAACAAAGTCATCATATTTGACTCAAATTGGTAGTTCATATAAACTATGTACGTTCCATCATCAAATTGGTTTACATGTGAATTTTGTGAACCATAATTCTTTAATTAAAAAACAAAATTTTATGTATGATTATAAGTTTCTCACGTTGTAATATTAATATTATTTGATAAAACAACAGTTAAAAGGGTAAATTTCTTTAAATTTCTCTCACAAATATTACAAGCTTATGATATCAAGAAAAAATTCATGTCAAAATAGGCCTATTTTTACTTTATTATTGGCCCAGAATTCTTAGGAACCCAAGAATGAATTCCATTGGGCCTACTTAGGATACAAAAGATGAATTCAATTGGACCTTATATGCCCACGTAAATTTAATGGGTTCGTATTCTAAGGAAAGTCTAGAATCCTACACGTTAGAATTAAAAAAAAAANNAAAAAAAAAAAAAAAAATGAGTTAAAAATAGGCAGCATTTTTTTTTATGTGTATATATATGCTTAAGATTATCTTCAACCTAAATTATATATATATATAATATAATATATATATCTATTTCTTTACAAAGAAAAATCAAGTTATAAAATTGAGCCTATTTGGAAAATAAGAAAATTATTATATATTAATTAAATTACGTATCGAATATGGAAAATTATGTAACATTCTATACATATATGATGAAATATATAAGAGAAATATTATAATGAAATATATAATAGAAAATTTATACTGAAATTCCCCATATATATAATTCACGATGTGCTGAGCCTAATTGGCTGCTTCTGGTGCTTCATAATTCTACTTGGCAAAAAATCATACTTCGTAATTAAGTTTGGACAAATAATATTGATTTATTAAAGATTAATAATCTAGGTTCGAACGTTCTATAAATATTATTTTGATATAATTCCAGAATGCGCTGAGCCTAAGTGGCTGCTTCTGGTGCTTCAGAATCCTACTTGGCGAAGAATCATGCTTTGTAATTAGGTTTGGACAAATAATATTGATATATTAATAACTAATAATCTAGGTTCGAACATTCTATAAATATTATTTAGCTAATTTAGGTATTTTAATATCATTTTTACTAATATGACCATTTTATTCTTTGTAATTTTACATAGTGAGGCACTAAGTGACTAATATATCATCCTTCAATTAGCTATTGAATTGTAAATGTATTTTAAAAGTTGATAACTTTTATATTTCTTATCGGTTTTACATATATAATATATCAAATTAATCATCTTTTGACGATCTTCGATTTGAAATCCATATTGTATATATGAAATAAATAAATTATATTTATCTTTATAATAATAAAAAATAATAATTTTTATTAAAATTTATTAGAAAAATAAAATTATTTCTCAATTGATATATTTATGTTTAATGTAGTTATATGTTGTAAGTTAAAAAAATTATTATAATATAACACAAGTAAGTCCCACAAATAAAAAGTAACATATTAAATATATAACTTTAGATTTTAAGAAAAAAAATTGCACACGTGTAATACTAAAAAGTGATATAGTTTTTCTCATTAATTTTAGATTTTAAGAAAAAAAATTACAAGCACCCGTGTAATACACGTGCATTGTACTAGTTAAAATTATTGTGAAAAATATGGAAAATGTATCTAGCATTCTATACATATATAATGAAATGGTAAAATTATGTAACATTATATACTTAAATCATGTAAAATTCTTTACATAAATTTAGAAGATAATGCAACTTAATAACAAAATTATTGCCTATTGTATAAGCAAAAAAATATTATAATATAAAATAAACGAATTTTACGGTAACATGTAAGATTTTAAATACAAATAAAAAAAAACACCATTTTAAAAGTAAACATTTTAAATTTAGAAAAGGAAGAAATGTAAAACTATCACTAGCTATAACATTTTTTTTTTTTTTTTCCTTTTTATATTCTAAAAATTATATTATGAGCATAGAATTGGTATAATTATTTGTTGAGTAAAAATGGAGTTACAAACAAAATAAATTATCCATTAGAACTTCTCATTAAGACTCCATAAATGCATAAGAGAGTTGCTCAAATTCTTCAAACATCCTTCATTCCCTCTTAAACACCATAACACAAAAAAACAAAATGTATTGTTCGTCTCAAAACTTGTTAAAATCCTTCAAACATCTCCTCCCTACCTCCCCAAAACACGCTTTCTCCAAAAGCCCCACCTTCCTAAAAGCGGTTTTAGCAATCACCTTCCTTTCCCTCTTTTCCCTCCCTTACTATTTCACATCCTTTCCCCTCACCAAATGGCGACTCTACCGGCCCGACCGAGCCCTCGTCGGGCCCCCGCCAGACAAGACGAACATTTCCCACATCCTCTTCGGAATCGGCGGCTCCGCCGCCACGTGGTCCCACCGTCGCCGCTACTCCGAGCTCTGGTGGGAACCGAACGCGACCCGAGGCTTCGTCTGGCTAGACGAGGCCCCGAGCCCAGATAACGGGCTCGAGCCGTGGCCCGAATCATCCCCCGAATTCAAAGTCTCATCCGACACGGCCCATTTCAAGTACACGTGCCCGTACGGGCACCGGTCGGCCGTCCGTGTGGCTCGGATCGTCAAGGAGAGCTTCGAGCTCGGGCAAGCGAACGTGAGGTGGTTCGTGATGGGTGACGACGACACAATTTTTTTCCCGGAGAATTTGGCGAACGTGTTGGGAAAGTACGATCACGAGAGGATGCATTATATCGGGAGCGTCTCGGAAAGCGTGGAGCAAGACGTGGTACACTCGTACACGATGGGCTACGGAGGGGCGGGCTTTGCAGTCAGCTACGCGCTGGCGGCGGAGCTCGTTCGGATCCTCGACGGGTGCATTGACCGGTATTCTGATTTTTACGGGTCGGATCAAAAGGTCGGTGGATGTGTTAGCGAGATTGGGGTGCCATTGTCTAAAGAACTTGGATTTCATCAGGTGAATTTTTAACTTCCTCTCCCTTTTTTTTTTCTGAAGAATTTGATTATGTGAATTTGATTTAATCAAGATTTCTTTATAATGTATGGAAATCAAACAATGGTGAATTGAAAAGATTATGTTGATGAAATTTATTAGATTAGCTATGGATCATTTATGTGAGACCAGATTTTCTTGGTCAAATGTAATATTAACGTAATATTAACTTGTATGGATTTCATATTGTTTGACCATACAAAACAATGCTTTTATTCATATGTTCAGATAGTAAATTGTCTATCTATCTAAACTAATTATTTTTTTTAATATTATTAAAGAACAATCTGTATTGCCTAAAATGTCGTTTATCTAATTTCTAAAATAAATTACACATACAATATAAAGTATTTACACATACATATTGATATATACATCTCAAATTGAATACTCAATGACTTTGAACAAAAATAAAGTATTTACACATACATATTGGTCTTAGTCTCTTAGACATTTTTATTTATTTATTTATTTTTTTTTTGTTCTTATAAAATTAATGTAACATGCGTTTATGCTCGATGAAAGCCTAAAACATTATAACGTATACAAATCAAAGTATCAAAAAAATCATATTCAACTTAACAAAAATTCTTGTGTGAGAAGGTCTTATGTTAGACGGGCTGACATTATAACAATAATACTATTTGTGATACTAAATGTCATACTTTTATTTATATAGATATATACATCTCAAATTGAAACTGATATACTGAATTCTAAATTTCGAATAGATGGATATAAGAGGGAGCCCGTACGGGTTACTTGCAGCCCACCCGCCCGCACCTCTCGTCTCGCTACACCATCTAGACTACATGGACCCTATCTTTCCGAACACGACTGGGGTCGAGTCAGTCAAGAAGCTTTTCACCGCCCACAAATCCGACCCTGCCCGAACCCTACAACACACTTTTTGTTACGACACGACCCGAAATTGGTCCATATCCGTCTCGTGGGGCTACACCGTGCAGTTGTACCCGTTTTACGAGACCGCAAAGAATTTGAGCACCCCTTTACAGACATTTTCGACATGGGCTTGGAACGACGGCCAGTTCACGTTCGATGTTCGGCCCATCGAGCCGGGCCCGTGTGGAAAGCCCGTGATATTTTATTTCGAGGGTGTTGATAAGTTTGGGAATGGGAGTACGATGACTCGGTACAACTATATAGATGAGGGGAGAAAATGCGAGTGGGAAAGTTATAAGGCTGCTTATTCAATTAAGGGGTTTAATGTCACTGTGGACTTTCTTGATCCTCACATATGGAGCCAGGTAAATATTATTCCTCAATTTAATTACCTTCTATCACTTAATTTTTTATTTATTTTAATATTAAACAATGATAATGTGTGTCTTTTTAATAAATATGCTTACTAACACCTTAAATGACATATTTTAAAAAGTAATATAAATGAAAATATGTAATTTATTAGTATAAATATATATGTTGTTTTATTCAAAAGCGGCAAGTCTTCTGTCACATTATCTAATAGTTCAATTTTGTTATGGAATCATCGAAGAATAATTTGACTTACGGAATCTTTCTGTCGGGGTTGTAAGCGTTAGATCATAATGTAACCATCGGAGATAGTTGATCTAACGATTACGAATCGACGAAATATTTCCATAATGGGACCGTAGCATTTCTCGATAAACATAACCTTAATTAAAGAAAAAAAAAACATTCCGAAACAGAGCAATTGATCGCGCAGTGATAATAAGGACGATTGTGAAATTATGACTTATCATAATTGGGTCGGTTGACTAAATTTCGGATTGATTAAGATTTCTGTTTTTAGAAGGAGGCGCCACGTAGACAGTGCTGTGAGATTTTTCAAACGGACGGCTCGGACTTGCAAGACGACGTCGTACCGGTCAGAATCAGAGACTGCAAAGATTGGGAATCTGTAACACCTCCATAGCCTAATTAAAATTTCACAAGTTAATTAATTAGTGGCATGTGACCATATGCTTTTGATAATTATGTTTGTTACATCAAATTAATGGGAGATGTTACGGTCGTTACGGAACAATTTTATCGGGGTTTGTAACCGTTATTTTAATTATCCATGACGGTTACATGATAATTCAATGATTACAAACACCGACGTAACAGTTCCGTAACGGGAATGTAGCATTTTCCCAAATTAATTTGTACACATTTTCTTTCTTTCCTTTTTTTTTATATTTTAATTAATCATGTTTGATACTATGTAATTTGTAACTGATGACAATACAAATTACGTATGGGAAAAAAAATTCCCAAGTTTTATTATTTTTTCAGTGCACCTTGAATAATTTCTCAATCTACAAATTGCATCCATATATCATGTTGTGTTATAGATAGGGCATATCATTTATAGTTTATTTGATATATAATGTATAATTTGGGTTTACATTTGTAAAGATTTTTAGAATATGTTTTGGAAATTTTAATTGAAAAGCCAGCTGATAATTTATAATTGAGTTTCTTGTTTATAATTGGTAGTCTAGGACTAATAGTTAAAAAGTTAGTTCATATGATAGAATTATTAATTTGGTAGAATTATATTACAAGTAATCAGCTGAAATAAAAATTTTAATAGTTATTATTTACTTTTTTTTTTGTGTGTGTAAAAAGCTATATTCAGAAGTTTATGAGTTAAATTTCAAATTTTTAGACAAACTCATCATACCAAACATAACTTGTTTGACTAAGAAAGAGCTTACAACTAACTAAATAAGTTGTAAGTTAGATTGAAATGATATGTTTGGTAAATTTAAGTGGAAAAGTTAATTGATATATTAGCTGATAAGATAATCGATAACTTATAAGAGAACTTCGACTTATAGTTGATAATTTATAACTTATAAACAAAAATTTAGTTGAAGGCTGAATATTGTAAAAATATGAGATATAATTATTAAACTTAATATGATATAAAAATAATAAAATAGTAAATATTGGTGATTGGTAACTAAAATTAGTTGATGATGAATAATGATTTTTGCTGAAAAATATTGATGCATACGATTTTCTATTGTGTTGATTGATTTTGGGAAAAAAATATAAATAATAATACCACAATGTCTAATACATCTCGTCATATAGTTCTAGAATAGGATAATTATATCATTAAGGAAAAAAAAAAAAATTAGAGAAAATATAAAATCTAAACTTTATGATTATGTTAATACTTGCATGTAATTATTATCTAGCTTACGTCCATAATGTGACACCATCATATGCTGTTAGGAAATATTTATTTCCTATGTATAATCTAATTATGGGCAACATATTAAATACAATTATATTATATTAGCTATTCAATTAATGAATGGACTCAATTAAGTGATCTAAATTAAGTAGAGTTCATGGGCTACATAAATTGATATGGACTTAATGAGTGGATACCTAATATTATTAGGGTTAGGTGATAATGGGTGACCTACCCTATTAGTATATATAGACCCTCTTGGTTATGGTCCCCAATACACTAAATCAAACACAGTTTTCTTTTCTCCCCATCTGAAAGAAGACGACAATCCCATCTGAGGAATAAGGCGATTTAGTTGAGGAAGGCCATAATACCAGTTGATCCAATTAATCAATCGAGTTCGTGTTCCGCAAAAGAAACTCAATGGATCCAGGTATTTCTAATAATCTTTCAGATCTAGAGCGATGTTGATTTTCCTAGAATTAAAGCACATATTCTAGGATAATTGTTATTGAATTTATATTATGTGATTATAAATTCCTACAAGTGGTATCAGAGCAGTCATCGACTGCTAGATCTAGATTATTTAATGACCTGTGTTTACACGATGGTTGCTTAGAATTAATAAACACAGTAGAATAAAAGTTGTGTTGCTTGTTGATTTACGCCTTGCAATACGTGCCCTATTTTTATTTTTATTTTTCTTTGGATCCCGTGTGTATTCTTGATAATATAATTTTTGATGTGTTTTGTTCACAATAAAATTGTGTTCTGTTGCCTTATGAATTGTTGTTGTGTTTTGTTCACAATTTTCAATTCGCAATGTTTTGGTTTTGATAAGAAAATTCATCATCAATAGGCCATGGGATCTATTTATTATAAAAAAAAAAAAAAAAA